CTTCCTCTCTGAAATCAATTTTAAAAAAATATTTTTAATCTGTTTCATCCCAGTTGGCAGTGATCTCGTTAAGAGCAGATTGTCACATTCATCTTCGTACTGTTGGTGCAAGCAATGGGCCTGAAAAATGTTGCATATCCCATGTATGTGCCGTGTCCAGGACAGGCAAATCCATAGAGACAGGCAGCAGATTAGTGGTTGCCCAGGGCTGGGGGAGGGAGGCTGGAGAGTGACTGCTAAATGGTACAGGTTTCCTTTTAGGGTATTAAAAATGTTCTAAAACAAGATAGTGCTGATCGCTGCACAACACTGTGAATGTACTAAATGCCAATGAATAAACACACTTTAAAAGGGCTAAAATGGTGTATTCTATGTTATGTGAGTTTTGCCACATTAAAAACAATTTTGGTTGAAATGAGGACTTGAGAGCCTCATTACACAGGCAGCCCAACGTATGGGCGCTTGCGTTCTGAATAAAACACAACACAACAGAGATCTACCTAGTTGAAAAGTCCAGTTGTGAAATCAGAAGAACCATAAAATGTCTTGGATAAAAACACAAGATGAGAAAGTATTTACATTTTATGTCATTAGGTGAAGCACTCAGTAACGTCAGTCACAGAGGTTTAGTCACAACTACAACGGAAGGGATTAGGGTGACATCTGTTGGAAATTTGATGTGAACATTGGGGTGCTACCCTGTTGAACTAGAGTTTTTTGTATTTTTTAATCCTCACCTGAGGATTTTTTTTCCCCATTGATTTTCAGAGAGAAGGGAGGAGGAGGGGAGAGAGAGACAGAAAGAGAGAGAGAGAGAGAGAGGCGTCAGTGTGAGACAGACACATTGACTGGTTGCTTCTCAAACTCAAGGCACACCCTCTCCCTTCCTCTCTGAAATCAATTTTAAAAAAATATTTTTAATCTGTTTCATCCCAGTTGGCAGTGATCTCGTTAAGAGCAGATTGTCACATTCATCTTTGTACTGCTGGTGCAAGCAATGGGCCTGAAAAATGTTGCGTATCCCATGTATGTGCCATGTCCAGGACAGGCAAATCCATAGAGACAGGCAGCAGATTAGTGGTTGCCCAGGGCTGGGGGAGGGAGGCTGGAGAGTGACTGCTAAATGGTACAGGTTTCCTTTTAGGGTGTTGAAAATGTTCTAAAACAAGATAGTGCTGATCGCTGCACAACACTGTGAATGTACTAAATGCCAATGAATAAACACACTTTAAAAGGGCTAAAATGGTGTATTCTATGTTATGTGAGTTTTGCCACATTAAAAACAATTTTGGTTGAAATGAGGACTTGAGAGCCTCATTACACAGGCAGCCCAATTTTGAAGAGAGAGCGTTTGAAGGTAAAGGACCAGCAGGTGCCAAGTGACAGAGGTGAGGTGGTGTGGAATTCGAATCCTCCACTCACCACCAATACTGCTGCTCCGAGTTCTCTCCCTCACGCACTGTGCTTTTCCCACACTACTCCTCTCCCTGGCTCATCCCACACATTTATGCCCTTGACTGGAATGGAACCCACAACCCTTCAGTCCCAGCTGACGCTCTAACCACTGAGCAAACAGCCAGGCTATAGTTAATCCTTTTATGTCAAGTTTTAGAAATGTTTGACTAGGTCAAGGTCATGAAGTTATGGAGCACGAATTTTCAATGTTTTTCCCAAACAAAAATTAACCTTTCGGATGTAATATATGTAATCATTAATTTATTTTTTCCAACAAACACTTAGTGAACCTCCCGACATGCTGGCGATGTGCTGGGTGTTGTAGGGGATATAACTCGCCCTGTCTCCCTCATGCACTGTGCACTCCGAGGGGTCTGGCGAGGCTTGGAGCGGTGACATCCCTGGCCCCAGTTCACACTGTTAGCACTCCGAAGCTGGAACACAGGCTTAGAACACAGTGACCCATCCCAGAGTCTGAGCAAATCACTGGGCTCCTCTGTCTCCAGCGGGGATGCTGAGACACCAGGAATGGATTTTTTAAAATATATTCTAGCTGGTAGCTTCCAAATCACTTTGGGGGAAATGTATAGTTAAACACAGGGACAAAGACATGTAGTCAAAAGCAAAACAAGACAAAAAGCCCTGTAGTGCAAGACAATATGTATTATGAGGAAGATATAACGAGGGGAAAGGATGCTTCTGGCTTTGAAGACGGGGAGGCTTCTCCGGGCAGGAGCTACCCTTGTTAGCACTTAAAATGTGAGCAGAATTCAGACCATTTTGAAGAGAGAGCGTTTGAAGGTAAAGGACCAGCAGGTGCCAAGTGACAGGGGTGAGTGAGATGGTGTGGAATTCGAATCCTCCACTCACCCCCAATACTGCTGCTCTGAGTTCTCTCCCTCATGCACTGTGCTTTTCCCACACTACCCCTCTCCCTGGCTCATCCCACACATTTCTTTTTCAAATACATTTTCATTGATTTCAGAGACGAAGGGAGAGGGAGAGATAGAAACATCAATGATGAGAATCATTGATCCGCTGTCTCTTACACAACCCCTACTGGAGATCGAGCCTGCAACCCGGGCATGAGTCCTGACCGAGAATCAAACCATGACCTCCTGGTTCATAAGTCGATGCTCAACCATCTGAGCCACACGGGTCGGGCGCACATTTTTATGGAATGAAGTGCCATCTCTATGTGCTAATGGCCTCCAAATCTATACCCAGCACTGTCTTCTCTTTTAGTTTCAGACTTACACCTCTATCTACTAGACATCTCCCACCTGATGTCTTGCAAAAATGGGTGTGTAGTTTTTTTTAAAAATCACAAAAATAGAAAATATCAAAGTGCATCATATATGTAAACCCAAGTTTAATGAAGCAGTTGTTTCCCATGTACATTATGGTCAAAAACCTTTAAAAAAAACACAGTAAGTAGATGACAACCTAGACATAATGACAAAAGGAGTGGGAGGAGCAGGGGCGTGTGCATGTGGGCAACAAAACCAGGGAAGTGAGAAGGAGCTGGTTTCTGGGGAAGATGACGACTTTCATTTTGAACACAGATTCTGGTTTACAGTAAATCAGGCACAGTGGTTGCCTCTTTCCCTACCACTTCCAGCCTCTGGTCAAAGTAATTCTGAATGAATGCTCCAGGGAGCAAGGGTTTCCCCTCAAACTCGTTAATAATTGGCTCCCCAGCTCTAGCTGGTTTAGCTCAGTGGACAGAGCATTGGCCTACAGACTGAAGGGTCCTGGGTTCAATTCCGGTCAAGGGCACATGCTCGGGTTGCGGGCTTAAACCCCAGCAAGGGGCGTGCAGGAGGCCGCTGATCAATGATTCTCTCATCATTGATGTTTCTCTCTCTCTCCTTTTTCCTTCCTCTCTGAAATCAATAAAATTATATATATTTATAAATAATAATTGGCTTCCCAGAAGAGATAATGCTTTAATGAGGAACTAACATTTATTGAACCCTTCTTATAAGTCATGTCCTCTACATCCAGTTTCTAACTAGACATCCTCTTAGTAGAAATGAGAGGCAGATACCATTATGTCCATTTCACAAATGAGGAAGCTGAGGTTCGGAGAGGATGAGAATCTCAGGTTGTGCGGGTAGCAAGTGACTTGCTGCACCTTGAGAGTGGACCACGTCACCTCTGAAAGCATCCACCACCAGGCTCCTTCTGGCCTCAGGCATTTGTCTCCCGTGGCTGCAGTAACAAATTTCCACAAACCTGGTGGCTTAAAACAACAGAAATTTATTCTCTCACAGCTCTGGAGGCTGGAAGTCTGAAGTACAGGTGTCGGCAGGGTTGGTTCCTTCTGAGAGTGAATCCGTTCCACACCTCTCTCCCAGCTTGTGCTGGCTATCCTTGGCCTTCCGTGGTTTGTATGTGCATCACTTCAATTTTTGGCTCCATCTTCACATGGCACTCATCTTCTTCTTTTTTTCTTTTTTTAATTCTCACCCGAGGATATTTTTCCATTGATTTTTAGAGAGAGGGGAAGAGAGAGGGAAAGACAGAGAGAAATATCGATGTGAGAGAAACACACCGATGGGTTGCCTCCTGCACCAGCCCGGACCAGGGCCTGGGCCCAGGAGGAGCCTGCAACCCACATATGTGCCCGTACCCTTGACCGAAATCGAACCCGGGACCCTTCGGTCCACAGGTCGACACTATATCCACTGAGCCCAACGGGTTAGGGCTGATCTTCTTATAAGGACACCAGTCATATTGAATTAGCCAGCCCCCACCCACACCCCAGTGTGACCTCATTTTTAAGTTTATCTAATTACATCTGCAATGACCCTATTTGGAAATGAGGTCATATTCTGAGGAGTCAGACTTCCTCATCTCTTTTTTGAGGGATACAATTCAACGCCTAATACCTCATTCAGTGGTATAAGCCCTGGAGTTAAAAGAAAACTATTTCCTATTGATTTGGAGGCTTTAGCACAAAAAGTTTACTTTATTTCTTGTTAGATTCCTAAGTTCCCCAGAAACCGGCTAGCTTTGTAGAATTCCCATGAGTACTCCTTATGAACACTTACAATCCCTCACATCCCCACGGCCTCCTGGACAATATCCACCCCGCATTGCCATCTCATAAAAACACAAACGCACCAACTTTGCCTCCAAAAGCCACCTTCCTCCTGACGTCCCTGTTTTTCACCAAACTAGCTAAACTAGCGGTTCTCAACCTGTGGGTCGCGACCCCTTTGGGGGTCGAACGACCCTTTCACAGGGGTCGCCTAAGACCATCGGAAAACACATATATAATTACATATTGTTTTTGTGATTAATCACTATGCTTTAATTATGTTCAATTTGTAACAGTGAAATTGGGGGTCACCACAACATGAGGAACTGTATTAAAGGGTCGCGGCAGTAGGAAGGTTGAGAACCACTGTAGTCTCGCCATTTCCTATAAGGAATCCTTGCCGTTCTCCTTCTATCTCCCAAGTTCAGTTCCTAGGGTTGCCTGTCCCTGGGGAAGACACACTGGCTCCCCAGCTCCTCCCCTGCTCGGGCCCCCTCACCTCATCCAGCCTCACGCGTCCATCTACGGCCAGTTCTCTAGAGTCTAGAGATGTCCAGTGATGGCGAACCTATGACACGCGTGTCAGAGGTGACAGGCAAACTCATTTTTTTGGTTGATTTTTCTTTGTTAAATGGCATTTAAATATATAAAATAAATATCAAAAATATAAGTCTTTGTTTTACTATGGTTGCAAATATCAAAAAATGTCTATATGTGACACAGCACCAGAGTTAAGTTAGGGTTTTTCAAAATGCTGACATGCCGAGCTCAAAAGGTTCGCCATCTAGAGACACACACCTCCAGACCGAAGGCAGATTACCTCGGCGGCTCCGGGTACCTGGTGGCGCTCCACCCTGCATTCAAGCACATTCGGCGCCTCACCCCCTTCCTTCCTTCCCTCCACGTTCCGCGGAGGCAGTGGAGTAAGTCTGCGGACCACCCAGGGCTCGGGATCGCGGCCGGAGCTACTTTTTTTTTCGCTCCGGGCTCCACACCTGGGCGCGCCCGGAACGCCGCTGCGGCCAGAATCGTTCTGCGGAAAGGCCGGGCTCTTTTGGGGGACGCACGCAGGAACCGGAAGTCAGTGGAGGAGGACTGAACGGTGGGGACGTACTCGTTTGACTCGGAAAATGAACGTCCCTAGTGTCCTCATGGCGGGAGGTAGGGTCCCTGCAGCACTGGGTTCGCTTCCCGTCCGCCCCGAGTCCCAGACCCAGGTCTCCTCTTGGAATCCCCGCTGAGCCGACGGCGCGATCGAGCTCCTCTGGGTTACGGGTCCGCGAGCGGCTCCTTCCCCGACTGGGCGGCGGGCGGGGGGCGGAGTCTAAGCCGCTTGCTCGCCCCTGGCTGCATGGCTTTCCTGTGGCTTCCCATTGGTTTACAGAAGTCTTCCTTACACGGGTTTCCCTTTGCCTGTAGACCCGTGGCATGGTAGGAATCTTGAGAAGTGTGCAGAAGAAAATAAAAATAAAATAAAAAAAACCGCTCTTAAATCTACCACTCCGCTAAAACATTTTAATCTTATAAAATGGAGGGAAAATAAATGTCCATAACAAGAGATATTAATTACAAAGAGATTCCTCTAAAGTTACAAATGTCAAAAATGTTAAGCAGTCGAAATTATTGTTTTAAACCCATGCTTCTTGATGGGCGTAAGATAAAATTTCTAGGTTGTAAAACTTAAGACATAGCCATAAAAATCAGAAGCTATCTCGTGAGTAAAAACATCAAAAAGCCCTGTTGTTTAATTATATGTAGATACGGTTTTTAAACAACTTATTTTAATAATGATTCTCCAGGAGAACTTAAGATGGTCCACTGGTTCTTAAATTATGGGAAAGTCTAGGACACCCCAACTCACATTTTGTTAAATTTTCCTTTTAGGGAGGTGGAGATTTTTTCCAGTACCATTAGGATGGTCCTCCTTCCAGGCCCTACATAATTCCTGCTGTCGGAAAAAATCCACCGCATCCAAGAAAAGTATTCCCGACGTTGCTTTTTGTGACAAAACGACAAAGGAGTCTGGGAAGGCCCTTGACAAGCTCTTCTCTTCGGAACAACAGGCTTCCATATTGCATGTGTTGAATACAGCATCTGATAATGAACTCGAAGCTTTCAAATTACTTCGTGGAAGAAAGTCCCTCAATCTTGTAGAGCACAGAAAAAAGTTTGGGCCATTCCAGAATTTGGAGAGTTTAATGAATGTGCCCTTGTTCCAGTATAAAACTACCGTTCAGATTTGTAACGCCATTCTTTGTCCAGAGACTGAAGTGAAAAAGAAAAAGTCACAGGAAAACCGGCTCTTGAAAAAGCTCCTCAAACCAGAAATAGAAAGAGAGAGACTTAAGGTATACATACCCTTTTTTATTCATGTCGATTATACTGTCTAAATATTTGAGAACCTACTGTGCAAAGAACTATTCTGGGCACTAAGACAGGGCTCTCAGGCAGCTTATAGTTCAGTTGGTGGGTTCAGCGATACATATATTAATAGATAACCCACTATACAAAGTAGTATGTGATCGATACCAAAGAATGAGATATTCAAATAGTACGTGAGCCATTCCTTCCGAGGAGAGAACTGTGGGCTGTAACTGTTGGGGAAAGTTTACTGGGAGAACTCAACTTGTATCTTTGAGGGAGAGAATTAGGCTAGTGGGAAGAGGAGGGCATTCTAGGAGGCAAAACAGCGATGTAAAAGTAGGTCTGTGCAAAGTTTATTTAAAAGGAATGTTGAGATATCTGGCTGTATCTGACAGGTATGTTAGGAGTAATCAGAAATTAGGATGCAAAGATGAGCTATGCCAAAGAGTGACTCTCGAACGTCTTTCCAGCAGCATTTAAAGTTATTTTCTTCCCCCTTTAAAAGAAATAAAAATAAAAATGTTTTTTGTTGATTTTAGAGAGTGAGAGAGAGAGAGAGAGAGAGAGATAGAAACATCAATTGGCTTCCTCATGCACGCCTCCTACTGGGGATCAGCCCACAACCCAGGCATGTGCCCTGACCGGAAATCGAACCAGCAACCTTTTGGTGCATGGGACAGTGCTCAACCAACTGAGCCACACCAGCCAGACAGAAGGCCTGTATTTTGTAGCTATTTGGGCTTCCAAATTATTTGCCTTTATTTATTTTGTAATCCTCACCAAATTATTCTGCCTTTCATGGATATTTACCCATTCTTTAGCAGTAAAAGGGAGATGAATATAGAATTACAAAATGTTCCTGCTTATCTCTGTATCTATAGATCATGTTAATGTATATTGTCTGTATAACTAAATGAGCCATGTGGGAGTGAGGTGAAGCCCAGACTTGGCACAGAGCTAAATCCACACATCCGGTTATCTGTTACACATGTCCTCTTCGAAGGCAGCCTGAACTCAATACATTAAAAAAACAATTCATCTCCCCTAACCTTCCCAAGTTGAACCTCCTCCTAAGATCATCTTGATTAATAATGCCATATAGTTACTGAAATACAATTGCAGTTATCCTAGGCCCCTTGATCATCCCACATAACAATTTATCTCTGATCTCTTTCTTGTCCTCATTGTCACTGTCTTAGGTTCTTAATACTTTGTCATATAACAGGTACCTAACACAAATCCCTACCTCTAGTCTATCTCTTCTGGTCCATCTTCCACACAGCTGTCCCTGATCTTTCTGAAATGTAAATCTGTTACTCCTGAATAGTATATGCTTTGCTGGCTCTCTGTGGCTCTCAGAATAAAGCAAGTTACTTTTTGCAGAAATCTGTGTACCCCTCTGCCCTTTTCCCACTTGTACTTGCTGAGTCTGAGGTGTCAAACTTTTTAAGTGGACATCTGGGTGAGATAACTTCCCGCTTACCATTTTACTCGTTCTCCTAGTCCTCCAGTAAGTCTTTCCTGACCATTTCTTTTCTCTACAGTGTAAATATTGTTATGGCATTTCTTACCATGTACGGCTGTGTTCCTGGTTCCCCAGCCTCTAGCAGTCCCCAGCAACATTTGAATGCCTACTTTGAGCTATGTACTGAGAACTGACTGCTACTAGTTACCTTTTAATTACTCCTGCATGTCTTTCACAATTCTGTTTATAAACCATAAATATATTTCTATTACATTAACTGATTTGGCTTTCTGAGTCTGTCACTTAAATTTTGTATCTGTTAACATGTTTACACTTGCAATGAAACCAGCCTTTTGTTTTAGGCAGTTAACAGTATCGTATCCATTGTTTTTGGTACTCGGAGAATTGCCTGGGCTCACCTTGATCGTAAATTGGCAGTGCTGGACTGGCAGCATAAAGAATGTTGCCAGTTGGTGAAAGGAACATACACATCATCTGTCTATTTAGAAGAGGTAAGGCAGTAACACCTCCAAATTCCTACCTGCTAAAGATCCTTGTATAGTTTAATCTACTGGTCCTGAAAATAATCTAATAAAATAGAGGGAGAGATTTTCTTTTGGTACTTATTACTCACCCATTCCAATTATGTTTTCCGTCATCGATTTTTTTTTAATTTAATATTTTTTTTAAATTTAATTTCTTCATTTATTTCAAGAAATGTCTATGTATCAAAGGCAGATACTGAAAAAAAAAGCAATGCTAAAGTTGATTCTAAATGTTATAGAATTTCATCACTATATTTGGAAAGCTTATTTTTAAATACTAACTTTGTCTCATTTGAGTCTTTGAAAGTTTGTTAGATGGGCAGTAATTATCATCCTAATTGAAAACTGTAATACACCATTGAAAACTGTTTCGATCAAACACCTGATGCAATCAGTCAATTGTAAGGGGATTGATTTTAGGCTAATTTTTCTAACCCTATGCTTTACTGTAGAAGTTTTTAAAAGGTTAATAAAACAGTTTTAACTTGTCTAATCTTAAAGTCAATATAGATTTTAGAAATTACAAGCCCATTTTACAGAAGAGGAAAGTAGTACTTAGGACTAAATGGTTTGTCTTAGCTTATCTGGTGCCCGATAGAACCATTACCAGAATTTGGCTGTTCTGATTCTCCCATAAAATGCTTTTTCAATTACTTCAAAATTGTCAATAGCAAAATAATGTAAGTTATGTAATTTTATTTTTAAATAGAAGTGGGACTGAGGGGACCCAGACAATAAAACGTAATGATTTACTTCTGCTCACTTATTTTATTTTGTTCTTTAAAGATTTCTCCGGTCGTTTCAAAGATGCCCAAAGCTGACTTCTATGTTCTGGAAAAAACAGGACTTTCCCTTCAGAACTCAACTCTGTTTCCTATACTGCTACACTTGCATATCATGGAAGCCATGCTGTATGCCTTATTAAACACAACTTTTGCTCAGCGTGGCCAGCATCAGGTGCTGAGCATGAATCGAAATGCAGTGGGGAAGCACTTTCAGCTGATGCTGGGTGACAGCCGCACGAGTGGAAAAGAACTAGTGAAGCAGTTCCTCTTAGACGCTGTGCTGAAGGAAGAGCCGCGGGTATTCTTCCCGTCAGATAAGATAGTCCACTACAGACACATGTTTTCAGCCACTGACCAATACAGAATAGAAGAGTTATATGATTCATTATTACAAGCTGTTGCCTTCTATGAATTGGCAGTGTTTGACCATGAACCTTAAAATTCTGATCACTAACATATGATCTGCTCTGTTATATTTATTAGCTTTAAAGTTGTAAAAAAAAAAAAAAGTTTTGACATCCATGTTAATGGAAAAGAAAATATGGTTTGAGTGTATTTAATGTTTAAAGTCAGATTTTTGGCTATTGAATGGTTTATACAATAAGCCAAGGCCAAGTCCATAAATATCTTTGTGAGATTTTATACCTTTTAGGTTTAAGTGTTAAACAGTAAGATATTTCCTAAACAGTCTAAATAAGAAACAAAGTTATCTTCCTTTAAAAGCAAATATCATCTATATTAAAGAATTTGCTGAAAAAGGGAATGAATTTTTCCGGGTGGTGCTCGTCGTGGAAATAAAGCTAAATATAATTGATAACACAACTTGTGGAATCCTCTTCTTATTCTGTAAATAGAACATGGTTTGATGCACAACCTCCAAAAGGTGATTTTCATCAGCTCAATCTCCCAAGCCCAGAATAAACAAGCTTTGTCTAATAGGCTCACTATCTTACTTTGAAATCTTTTAGTTGACGGACCATCTTTTCTTAAAAGTAGCACTTTTCCACATCTCTCCATTTTCCATTTTATCTGCCTTAGTTCAGGCTGTCACTATATCTCACTTGAACTGAACCCAACTCTCTGATGTCAAAGCATTAAGCCTTTTCTTTAATCTAAAAGTGAAATATACTTTTTGGGGAAAATTCAAATAATCATAAATATGTATATATATAAAAGCCTAAGCAACTGTTCAACTGGTAGCTATGATGCACATTGACCACCTGGGGGCAGACACTCATGCACAGATATGGAAACATGGAACAGACAGATGAATCTCAGAGGGAAGCGGGAAGAGATTAACCAAAGATTTTATATACATACTAGAGGCCTGGTGCATGGATTCGTGCACTGGTGCAGGCCAGGCCAAGGGACCCCACCAATGAATGAATTTGTGCACTGGGCCTCTAGTGTAAAATATATGGAAGTCCTCTCAGCACCTCGTAACTCCTTAGGAGATTGGTATACACTCTAGATTTGTTGCTATGCCTGTGTAAACCTCTACACATAGTATATGGTTGTATACATAAACATATCCATCTTGGGAAATATTGTAGATATCTCAAACTATTCATGTCTGAAACTATTCTCTTTCCTCCAGATCATCTCCTTTGCTACCGTTTTATACTTTGCTAAATGGCCTCACCGTCCATTCAGTTGTTTATGCCAGACATGTGGTATTCTACTTCCCACATATTTCTAGAAATAGCTGTAAGTGAAAATGTGACTGTTTTAGACATTTATAAGCTAGGATATGAAGTATTGAAAAGTACTCAAAATTTTTATCACAAAAATGAGTTTAAATCTAACAGGAATTTATCACCTTTAAGAATTGAAAAATATTTCCCCAAATCATGTTAAACCTAAAAAGAAAAAAGATATTAAAAATTCTAGCCCGGCCAGTGTGACTCTGTGGTTGAATATCGACCCATCAACCAGGAGGTCACCAGTTTAATTGCTGTCAGGGCACATGCCCAGGTTGCCAGCTCAATCCCCAGCAGGGGGTGTGCAGGAGGCAGCCCATTGATGAGATTTCTCTCATCGATGCTTCTATCTCTATTCCTCTCCCTCTCTTTCTAAAAACCAATAAAAAAAAACATTTTAAAAATTCTATGGATTTATTTTACTTTGGTTCCTCAATTATAATTATCAGAATTTTCTAATAATAAAACACCAAAAATTAACAGGTAAGTAAGAGCTCTATAGGTAGTAAACTCTTGTATTCAGTAGAAAAACATCCATATACTTTTTAAAAAATGCCTCAGGCAGGTAGGTCTTAGTCTCTTATACAGGACTGAACCTATGTAAGTTATAGCCTATAGTCAAACCTATACAATATCCAATATTTACTCAGGTGATTATATCTGGAACTCCTATATAAATACTGGATAAAGCCTTTTAGCTTTAGCCTTTAAATCAATGTTATCAATACAAGAAAAAGCAGGTTAAATAAAAACACTTTAATACACATTTAAAGCAGGTATACATAAGATATTTCTCAACTGTGCAAAATTAGGATCCTTATCTTTTGAGGAGAAAATGTAATTCACCAGATAATGTAACTGAATATTAAGCTAATTAATACAAACACTTGAAATAGGAAACTATTTTCAAGTATACCTGATTATATAATTGCAAAAATTATTTAAAGTGAACTGTGGAATTTTTAAATCTTGTAATTAAAAATACATATTTCCAAAAACATAACCATCAGTGGAAATGGCTATTATATAGAAATCCTATAGTAGAATCCTTTGGTGGTGTTTTTTTGTTTTTTTTAATTCTTACCTAAGGACGTGGTTTTATTGATTTTACTGTTTTGTTTTTTTTTAAGTATATTTTTATTGATTTTCAGAGAGGAAGGGACAAGGAGATAGAAAAACACTGGTATGAGAGTGAAACACTGATCATTTGCCTCCACATGTGCCCAGGCTGGGGATAGAATCCATGATCTTTTGGTGTGTGGGACTGAAGCTCCAACCAACTAGGCCATACTGGCCAGGGCTGTTAAATAGCATTAAATCTTGAATGAAGTAGATATATTAACATCATTAATATCTATGAAATAAAACACAAATTATACAAAAATACAAAAAAATATACAAGGTAACTGATTTGACTTGGCAAAATATACAAGATATCACATGTACGGTTGCTAAAAAACATTAATGAAAACTTGAATTCATAATCTTGATTCCTCTTTGTCAACATTCAGTATTCAATGGTGAAATATGCTAGAGTGCACCAAAAATAAAGTCAGGAAGCTCTTACTTTTTGTTGTTGTTAATCCTCACCCAGGATATTTTTTTTTCCCATTGATTTTTAGAAAGAATGGGAGAAGGAGAGGGAGACAGACACACAGAGAGAGAAACATTGGTGAGAGAGACACATCGATTGGTTGCCTACCTCATGCACACCAACTGGGGTCAGGGATTGAACCTACAACCCAGGTACATGCCTTTGATGGGGAATCGAACCCATGGACCTTTGGTATGCAGGCTGACCCTGAGCAGGAAGATCTTTTATTTTTATTTTTTTTGTGTGGGGGGGAGATTTTACTTCTTGAAAAATGAAACAATTTCCTTCTTAGGAAGTTTTCTTATGCATCATACGTATATGTAATATTGTATTCTAGATTGCATAAATTTATTTAAGAGATTCATATTTACAACTTGACAGAGTACTCACACTTGGTTGGAGAGAGTTGAATTAAAGGTACCAGGAAAGGGAAAAATTATGGAGTAGTGTAGCATTGAACCCTCTTTAGAAATATCTTAGTGAACTCTAGCTCCTAGAAACAGCTCAGTTACATACATAAATACTCCAACAAAGCTAAATCAGATAATACAAAAAATTTTTAAAAATACCACATCATAAATACAAAATGCAACTCAAATTTTTTCATTTTAAATATTTGCGCACTAATAAAAATATACAAATATTCTGTTTTAAATGTACATTAAGAGATGTAAACTTCCACAAAAATCAATATAAAAATGTATCTTAAGGACCACACAATAATCTGTACAAGGCACTGTTAATGTGGAATATTAAGGGAAATCAGCTGCCAAAGTGTTCACAGTCTCTTTTGCAATGTTAAGGTGAATTCCTTCAAGATAGTGGAGGAACCTGTCAAAATTACACAGAAAAATAATTTAATATTAATATTTCCATCAGGTGAGAATATGAATCTTGAAATAGCTATATAAAATGTTATTTCTATAGATCCTTTACCTTCTTTTACTTTTTCCTTGTTCTTTTAGCTTCTCAGTCCTACAAATGTTTCGAAGAGTTGGCAAGTATTCAATTATACTAGCTTGTCTATTACCCAGGTTGAGAAGAGATCGGCTAGAAAATACACTTTTAATGACTGCTATCCTCTTCCAAGCACAGCTGTAAATTAAAAGTAACGCATTACTTTTTATGTATAATGCCCCCAAAAATGCAACAATCCCAAACACAATCAGCTTTTGGTCTGCTTGTCCCTGTTTCTGATCTAGACTGGATTAACTGGATTCCAGATTAATTTTCTGTATCATTTTCAACCCATCAACCACTCCCATACTGAAACATCTGTGATGGCTACCTGTTTCCTGCCACAGCAAATCCAAAACCCTTTCTCTATCACTCGAAGAGTCTCCTCAATCTAGCCCACCCTAATCTCTCATTTTTCTTCCCAGTATTCAGACTGATCTCCTTCACTCTCATTAGAAGTTACATCATTAATATCAAGGGCTTATTATGATCAATAAAGCCCAGCATTTCAAAATTGGTAAGAACCTAACAATTTCCTCTTTACCCTTTTTCTACTGAAATGTAAAAAAAATTAAAGACTTACTCTAAATTAGCCGAGGACTGACTAAAGTACACATTGGTGCGCTTTTGTGAAACAGATAAAGTAAGGTCTTTCATTGGATCTCTGCCTAATTTCTTGCAAGAATTCAAGGTTTCCAATGCTTTTGAAATAGTAGAAGAACACTTAGTAAAACTGAGAGCTTCTACCGCTGCCTTTAATTCTCCAGAGCTTTGAGAAGTCCATCCATCACTGTTTTCAAGACTAAACTCATCACAAAGTCCACTTTTAACCTTTCCATTTGTCCAACTGAAGTCATGTTTACCAAGTTCCTTTTGTTCCCTCACATCAGTTAAAAGGGCATCTAAGAAGGACATGTTATCCATGAACTCAGCGAGAGAATTTAAACAGTGAGAAACGAGGGCAGAACATTTTTTTTCTGCTGGTGTTTTAGGAAGATGAGGATTAGATTCAAGGTTTAAATCTAAACATTTGTTTAGTTTCTTTGTCTCTGAATTGCTTTCTTTGGCTTTGCTTTCTTCTGAACTTGAGGAAGAAGATTCAGGGTGAAGGCAAAGAAATTCATCAGAGAAGTCCAAGTTCGTGTCAAATAAGTCACTATCATCTAGAATTACCATTTTTTTCTTATGTTTCTTTTTTTGCGACTTTTTCAATGGCTTCTCTCCAGAATGTTTCCTGGCAAGACATTTCATATTTTTTGTTGCTGCACTGGTGTCCACACTTACTGATGAACCACAAAGCTTTTCTGTTTCTGGAATTATATCAACAGGTAATGGTAGGATGAACTCAAGATTGCTATATAAGAAATCTACATTCCGCATTTGGAATTCTGTAAGAATCTGGATGAGCTTATGCCATTCTTCTTTTGTTCTGATTTTGTGCTGAAAAACAATTTTGAGTAAAGAAATGTTATAACAATACACATTTAAACATTTTTCTACCCATATGAATATGTCATCTGTCTTCTATCTTCAAAGAAGTCATTACCCCTCATAATGTATTAACCTACACAGTCCCTTAATTCATCAAAATAGTATTACCAATCTAAAAAATTAATTTAGACTATTAATTTCAAGAATTAAATTCTTTAATATTCAGTATATACCCCAATTCAATAATTAGCTCATTTGTTTAAAAAATACTTCTCTAGCCCAACTGGTGTGGCTCAGTGGTTGACCGTTGACCTATGAACCAAGGTCGACGGTTCGATTCCCGGCAGGGCACATCCCCAGGTTGCAGGAGGCAGCCAATCAATGATTGTCTCTCATCATTATTGTTTCTCTCTCTCTCTCTCCCTTTCCCTTCCTCTTTAAAATCAATAAAAATCTTTTTTAAAAAAATTCTCTAAAATTTTTAATCTGAACTATCTGTAAGTTCTCTTCTCAATACTATAATAAGCATTTAGAGCAATGCATATGCATCATTTGTCAGAGTTTGAATGTGTTAAAATCTGAAGCCTATAAAAAGTATGAGCAAATTTAAGTTAATCTCTAGATTCAAAAGATAGGAGTGTTGAAAAGATGAAAGAAACATAAATTTAGCATTCAAATTTAACATTCCAAACTAGACATTGAAAATACCTTTAAAAATGAAAATAAATCTTCAGAAGGGGATAAAATGTTCTTAAGGCCAAACAAGGTCTCAACACAGCCAGTGTCACATTTGGGAAGGTCTGTAGGACTCCTTTTAGCATTTTTAGGGTTATTTTTGGAATTACGGCCATCTTCAGAGCGAATAAGTTGTACATTTCTGCCGTTTCCTCCTTCAAAGTGAATAAAAGAAAGTCTTACCTATCCATATTTTAAACAAATTATATCAAACAATTATTTAAAATCTAAGATCCTTTGGCATCTCTTGATCCTATACACTCCATTTTGTTCTTCTCCACACATTTATTTAATTCACAAAGAGTGCAATGCAGCCCGGCTGGCGTGCCTCAGTAGTTGAGCATCAACCTATGAACCAGGAGGTCATGGTTTGATTCCCAGTCAGGGCACATGCCCGGGTTGCAGGCTCGATCCCCTGTGTAGGCATGCAGGAGGTAGCCGATCAATGATTCTCCCTCATCATTGATATTTCTATCTCTCTCTCCCTCTCCTTTCCTCTCTGAAATCAATAAAAAAAAAAAATATTTTTAAAAGTACAATACAAACATTACTTTTATCATACATAGGTTAAGTGAGATGGTGGTGATGGGCTTACAAAACAATCCAACAGGGAAAAAGTGCGAAGACTAGTAACAGACAAGTCACAGAAGAATACAAATATCTAATAAACTCATAAAACCATGTGCAACTGCCCTAAGTGACTATGGAAGTGCAAATTAAGATGTTCATTTTTTCACCTTTAAATTGGCAAATTAAAATGACTGATACTCGCCCAGCCAGTGTGGCTTAGTGGTTGAGTGTCAACCTATGAACCAGGAGGTCACGGTTTGATTCCTGTTCAGGGCACATACCCAGGTTGTGGGCTCGTTCCCCAGTGTGGGGAGCGCAGGAGGCAGCTAATCAATGATTCTCTCTCATCATTGATGTTTCTATCTCTCTCTTTCCTTTCCTTCCTCTCTGAAATCAATAAAACTATGCTAAAAAATAAATTAAAAATAAATAAATAAAATGACTGATAACCTAGTTCAGTTAAAGATACACATAAAAGAGCCATCATATATTCATTGTGGAACATAAACTCATATATAAATGTAAAATGTATAGCCTTTGGCCCAGAAACCACACTTCTAGAATTCTCTTCAACAGAAGTACTCACAGACATGCTCAAGGATATGTGTATAAAGATATCCACTGCATACTTTAACAACACACTGAAGATAACTTAAATGTCTCTAAATAGGTAATGGTTAATTAAATTATGTTATATCCAATCAATTATGGAATAGCATGCAGCTGTGAAAAATGGGGTAGAACTCTACTGACAAATTGCTGAGTGAAAAGCAAACTGTTTAACAATATATATAGTATTGGTTAATTTTGCTAAATAAGTAGGTAGCAATATTTGTGCATAAAGGTCTAACAGTGGCTACCTTTAAGAAGTTCTTTTATTTTTTATTTTACATAAAAGTTTGAATTTCCAATGAGTGTGTATTTTTATAGAAATGAAATACATATAAGATCTTCCAGAAAAGAAAAAATGCCATACTTAATTCATGTCTTCTAAAGTCTTGGTATAGCATTTTATATCCAGTAGTATGCTGACAGGTTATTTTCCACGTCTTATTTTTCATATTTACTTCCAAGTAAATTATGTTGAATTAAATGTTTGTCTACTTTAAATATATATATATATATTAAAATTTTGAACAAATCAAAGAAAAAATACTGACGGGATTAGTATTTCAGTACGTCACCCTGATTTCATTTAAATATTTGTGTATTTTCCTGAGCAGAATCTATAACTACATAACTGTGACTATGGAGCATGGAAACCACGAACTATGAACTTCTTCAGGAAAGGAACATGTCTTATTCATGGAAACACAGGATCTAGCATGGAGAACATGTATCTGTGACTTGAATTAGGTAATGAAGACTAAAGATCAATAATAAAATAAAGCATTTCTGAAATGATAAAGTTCTTAGGCAAAATAGAATTACAGACTAGCGAAGAAGCTAAAAGGGACCTTACAACATGGCCACATAAAAATAATTTATATATGTGGAAAAAATCACCAATATTTTTTAAAAAGTAATAAAAATAAATTGTTAAATAATATAATTCTATTTGTTTATTAAAAAACATACGTTTATAAATGTAGAAGTAACAATCTGTTCTAGGTTAGTTTAATTTTATTTACCCACATTTAATGTTCATAAAACTTTTCATCAACAAAGTTGACATATGTATGTATTTTTAAGATTAATGTGATACCTGGATCTCTAAATTTTTATAATCTTTCAAATATTTTGGTATAGAATATATTTTAACATAGGGTCCCATTGCAGAGTTTTCTTTTTATAACAGATCAACTTACGACAAAGAGATAATGGCCTTTCTTCTAAAAATCCACCTCCACTTCTAATCCAAAATTGTAAGTAAAGGATACTTTTCCTAATATCACAAGTATTTGCAGTTAACAATGTTACAAAGTCTTTTATGTCAGTTCTAAAATTCTCAGTTAAGCAGATTGTCTGTAGGTAGCTGGCAACATTTAGCTGAGAGAAAAAGGAAATAAATATGGTCAATTGCAGAGTTAATAGAAATACATGAATACATGTCTTTTAAAAAGTAAGACAAATTTTGCTGAAATTCACATATTAAGCATTTATTGAGAATAAAATGAGCTGGACTCAAGGTTCAGTTAGATTCCCAGTCAAGGGCATGTACCTGGGTTACGGATTTGCCCCCCACCCCAGTTGGGGCATGTGCGGGAGGCAAACAATCAAAAATAGTGTGTCTCTGCCCTAGCTGGTTTGGCTGGGTGGATAGAGTGTCAGCCTACAAACTGAAGGGTCCTGAGTTCGATTCCAGTCAAGGGCATGTACCTCAGTTGCAAGCTCAATGTGGGAAGCAACCAATCGATGTGTCTCTCTCACATCAATGTTTCTCTCTCTCCTCCCTCCATTCCTTCCACTCTATTTCTGAAAAGCAATGGAAAAAATATCCTCGGGTGAGGATTAACAAATAAATAAATAAAATTTTAAAAATAAATAAAACCATGAGATACCAATATATAATTATTACTATGGATAAAATAAAATAATTGGGTAATTCTGGTGATTATGCAAAATACAACTGAACCCTCATACATTGCTGGTGGGATGAAAATCATTGGAAAACTTCAGAAAACAATTTATCAGGCTCTTATAATGTTAATTCAACCAATGATTCCACCTTTAAGTACTTAAGTAAAAAAAAAAAAGGAAATATATGTCCAGAATAAGGTAATTATTCATAGCAGCTTTATTTATAATAGTTTAGCTGTAAACAACCCAAATGTCTATCAATAGGTGAATATGATAACACATTCATATATGAGAAGTATATCTATAAAATGGGATACTGCTCATTCACAAAAAGGAAAGAACTACTGCCACAGGTAATATGAATGAATCTGAAAAAGCATTATGTTATGTAAAAGAAACTAAATAAAAAATACATATTATAAGATTCTATTTATATAAAATTCTACAGGCAAAATTATAGTGACAGAAAAACACAATGGGGCGCAAGGGAACTTTCTGATAAAATATATTTTTTTTAAAGTTATAAAAGGACACATAATGTTTCCTATTATTTGAAATTTCAGAATCAAAAACACTAATATTAAAAAGTTAAACATATTAGAATATTGTGTCTACTTTTGGTGAGGAGGGGAGTGCTGACTTTTTAAAAAAGGGCTTATGGGAACTTTTTGGATGGAATGGAAATGTTCTATATTTTTATATGGGCAATGGTCACATGAAGGTTTATTACATATGTTAATATTTATCAAATTATACACTTAAGGGCATTTAACTGCATGTTAATTTAACCTCAATAAAGCACTGTTACTATAAAAAAAAAAAACTTAATGAACACTGGAGTCTAGTAAAAATTTGAATATTTGGCCCAGCCAGCATGGCTCATTGGTTGAGCATCAACCTATGAACCAGGAGGTCACAGTTTGATTCCTGGTCAGGGCACATGCCCAGGTTGTGGGCTCAATCCCCAGTAGGGGGTGTGCAGGAAGCAGCTGACCAATGATTCTCTCATCATTGATGTTTCTATCTCTCCCTTTCCTTTCCTCTCTCTGAAATCAATAAAATAAAAAAACACTAAAAATTTTTAACATATCCTTAGTAATTACATTTTAAAATTATAACTATCATAATAAATCAACTTTTATATAATTATGATATATGATCACCAAAATTAAAAACTTACCAACGAAGGCATATTGAAATTAATTTCTTCAAAACAGCCATCAAACATTAAACTAAATGAAGGATCTATAGTAAAAAAAATTTTTTTTAAACATGGAGACCAATTAATTTCTTTTTCCAGTTATACTTTTTCTATGTAAATATTCTGTATTTCATCAGTAATAGAAATCAAGTATCATGTAAACTATATGATAAAAATTGAATTTCTACCTTGGCCTAAAGTAGCTATGATTTTTAATTAAACTGCCATTTGACTTGTGATTACTATGATTTTTATTTATATTTTTAGATTACAATCACTAACTGTCAAATGGGCCATTAATTTGTAAGTGGAGTCTAACATAAACACATTTTCCTATAGAAATCCATAGCAGAGATATTATACTGAATATTTGCAATGAAAAATATTAGAGAACAATATTATAATACTTATAATAAAAAAAGAAATTATGTAGGTTTTAAAAATAAACCTTGGGATAGAGCGTCGGCCTGCGGACTGAAGGGTCCCAGGTTCGATTCCGGTCAAGGGCATGTACCTTGGTTGCGGGCGCATCCCCAGTTGGGGGTGTGCAGGAGGCAACTGATCAATGTTTCTCTCTCATCGATGTTTCTAACTCTCTATCCCTCTCCCTTCCTCTCTGTAAAAAATCAATAAAAATATTAAAAAAAAAATAAACCTTGAATGCTAATTATTAAGAAGGTGTAGCAATTCTGTTAAGCTGATGATAGTTTACTTTAGCTAAACTATGCAATAATCAATCCATATGGAAGTGTTATCAGGGGTTAAAGAATGGCTAAATTCAATATTAAGGAACTGCAAAAGGTTGGGTCCCATAAAATATTTTGACCAACAAATGAGGTATGGTGATCTAATCATATGTGTGAGGAAGAGGCAAAGAGAAGAATCTGTTATTTCCCCTACCAAAACCTCTTCACTGGCTAGTCCATAAATCTTTCTATCAGTATTCCAGGCTATTGCCAAATTCCTAAATATCTAACACCCAACAAAGTGATTCAAAGTAGTTCCTATTTTTAAAGTCGTTGCTTTTTGCAAGGTAGTAAATTAATTTTATAACTGCTCAAGGCTGCCAATCAACTGCTAATTTGAATAATTCTTCATTTAAAAAATTATCTAGTAGCCTCCTCATTTTAGAAAAAAGGAGTTAATTTACTAGTAGACTTTAAAAGGAACTTTTGAAATTAAAATTAGAAGCTTGTGTAAAATATTTTAACCAGAAGTAATTAATTATAAAATCACTGTTACCTACCACTTGTAGTAAGGATTACAGGTCTTTTAGTTGTTGCCATGAATGTTTTGATTGCATTCAAAAACCCAGCATCTTCTTCAAAAATGACATCAACCTAAGAATCATTTATTAATATTAATGTACTGAAAACAACATACTTACTGAATAGCTGTTATGTATACATAGTAGATATATGTCTGTTAGAAACAAAATTTATGAATTTATGAACAGTGTGCATTCAGCCCATGCTAAAATCTTACATTAAAAGAGTAAGAAGCCGAAACCGGTTTGGCTCAGTGGATAGAGCGTCGGCCTGCGTACTGAAAGGTCCCAGGTTCGATTCCGGTCAAGGGCATGTACCTGGGTTGCGGGCACATCCCCAGTAGGAAATGTGCAGGAGGCAGCTGATCGATGTTTCTCTCTCATCGATGTTTCTAACTCTCTATCTCTCTCCCTTCCTCTCTGTAAAATATCAATAAAATATATTTAAAAAAAAAAAAAAAGAGTAAGAATATTATCAAACATTAAAACCAAAGAAATGCAGTCACCTGTAACTGGTTAAGTATAACTCAGAATAATTTCTAAATTCATTGAAAAAAATTAATAACCGTGGATTGCATTAATTATCTTCATGAAAAATTCTTCTATAGTTGACAATTCCACTAGCTTTAATTTCAAATAGATTCAAGTAAGTATTCCGGACTTTCTTGGCTATTTTACAATAATTTACAGTAACACAGTAAGTAATCCTTAGAATAAGTTTTTATCATGAGAGATCACCAATGTATATCTCTGCAACCTTACCTCCTCAAAAAGAATGAGAGATGTTGCATTTTTCCTGTTGGGTTCCTCGGCTCCATATTCTTTGACATTTGAATTAGTTGTATTTGTAGATTTAGTATGAATAGTTTGTTTCTGTTCAAAAAAATTTTTGATTCCTGCATAAATAAAATATTAATATTTTACATAAAATCAACTTTTAAAGAACACTGGATATTTCTATAGAATAAGTTCAAACTGAAATCACCTATTAAAACTGAAATAAAATATCAAAACTCCTATATGAAGGACTTTCAGCATAGCTTAAGTTTAATAGATAGCAATAGGAACTCATGAAATATGATCATTATTTATTTATTTGAGGCCCGATGCACAAAATTTGTGCAAGAGTAGGCCTCCCTTCCCCCGGCTGCTGGCACCGGCTTCCCTCTGGCACCCGGGACTCAGGCTTCCCTCACAGCCCTGGTTCGTCCGGAAGGACGTCTGGTCTAATTAGCATATTACACTTTTATTATTATAGATTTTAAAAGAGAAAGAGAGAGAGAGAGAGCCATCAATTTGTTGTTCCACTTATGTATGTATTCATTGGATGATTCTTATATGTGCCCTGACCAAGTATCAAACTCACAACCTTGGCTTATTGGGACGACAGTCTAACCAACTGAACTACCCAGCCAGGGCTGATCCTATCTTTATGTACCAGGGTCATTAGGATTAAAAAATGTCTATTTAATTACATACCTTTATTATTTTCTGGAAGTTCTCCTATTTCTTCATTATTTTTTGGCTTGGAAGACACTTTAAAATAATTTGCCAGTGTTTTAGGTGGAAGTGCTCGCTTTGGTCCACTACTTTGTGGTGATGATGGAGGAAGTCTCCTTGGTGATGTAACAACTTTCTTAGGAGAACTTAATTTTTCTGCCAAAACCAAATTACACTTAAAGATAAGTATTCTAAAAATTAAACAGCAAAATTGAATTATCCACAGTCTATATTTCTACTCTTACCAGTTACAAAGATACAGAAATTTTCTTTCATTCTTACATTCCAATACTCAATAGTCAAATATTACTATATTATTACTTATTCTATCAGAAGAGAAGGTAAAACAGGTCATTTGGAAAAGACACTCTTTTCCAAAGAAACATATATTCTTGAAGCAAATAATGTTCATAATCCCTCCATTCACTTTCACTATACCTATGTGCGTTCAGAAAAGGCTGCAAGAAAAGTGGTAACAGTACATGCTGAGCACATTACAGAACTTTGTTGTCCAACTTCAGCTTAACCTAACAGTAAATTGGTACTTCAAAAACAGAATACTTTTTTTAGAGATTGGATTCAAGTTAAAAAAAAAATAAATGGTTAATCCCTCCTCCACTAGAAGCCAATGGCTCGGCCTTTACTCCAGGACATGTCCTTTTCTTCCCTCTAAATACCCTGATTCAGTCCCTACATGTCCAAATTATTATCCTATGGCCTTGGTGCAGAATATTCTTCAAGCACCATCATATGGGCACAATTCCATGACTGTATCCTACTCTTTTTTTGAACCCCCTATCTCCACAGATCTTATCATCTATCTTGAATTTTACAGGTGTTCAAAAAACTTATAGAAAATTTTGAGTTTGAAAAATTATAGCCATCACTATCATTTAATAAAATTAGGGCACTTTAACACCACAAAAAGGAAATGCATAATCTTATAATAAAAAACATTTCTTTATATTGAGTACTTTTCTATTTATTTTTTAAAAACCTCATTAGTTTATTTTTCTACTTTTATCATAGACCAAGGATTGCTTGATCATGGACTGGCATCGGTCCATAGATTGGTTTTAGAAAATACATGCTGATTTTTATTTTATTTATTATTATTTTGAAGCCTTATTTAAGGATATTCCCCCCCCCCCCTTGATTTTTAGAGAGAGTGGAAGGGAGGGGAAGAGACAGAGAGAGAGAAACATCTATGTGAGAGAGACACATCAATTGGTTGCCTCCTACATGCGCCCCAACCAGGGCTGGGGATCAAGCCTGCAACCAAGGTATGAGGTATGCGCTCTTGACTGGGAATTGAATACGTGACCCTTCAGTCTGCAGGCCAACACTCCAACCACTGAGCCAAAATGGCTAGGGCCCAATTTTTATTTTAAGGTACTCAGAAATACTTGGTTAAATGTTATCAATATATTCTCTTTATTTTTTTTTTAAATAATTGGTTTTATTTTTTTATTAATCCTCATCCAAGGATATTTTTTCCTTTGATTTTTAAGAGAGAATGGAAGAGAGGGAGAGAGAATGGGAGAGAAAGAGAAAACAGAGAAACACTGATGTGAGAGAGACAAATCGATTGGTTGCCCCCCGACACACACCCCAACTGGGACCGAAGATCAAACCTGCAACTCAGGTACATGCCCTTGACTGGGAATCGAACCTAAAACCCTTTGGTACACAAGTGGATGCTCCAACCACTGAACAACACCGGCCAGGGCTTTTTATAATTGATTTTAAAAAGAGAGGAAGGGAGAGAAGAAGAAAAGAAACATCAATGTGAGAGAGAAACATTGAGCGGTTGTATCCCGTACACACCCTGACTTGGGACCAAACCCTCAACTTGGGTATGTGCCTAGACCAGGAATCAAATCCATGACCTTTCAGTGTATGGGACAATGCTCCAACCAACTAAGCCATACCAGCCAGGGCTATCAATACATTCTTTTTTTTTTTTTTTTTTTTTTTGAAGGGAAAGGGAGAGAGATAGAAACATCAACGATGAGAATCATTGATTGGCTGCCTCCTGTACACCCCACACTGGAGATCAAGCCTGCAACCGGGGCATGTGCCCTTGACCAGAATCGAACCCGGGACCCTTCAGTCTTCAGGCCAACACTCTATCCACTGAGCCAAACAGGTTAGGGATCAATATATTCTTTATAAAGGAATTTCCACCAAAAGAATCGGTTCTTTGGAGAAATAGCTCATTTTAGGTCTGGGACATCTTAACAAGCCATAGAGCAAAGAAAATATCTAACATTACTGGGGCTATGTCAAAAGGACACAAGCTAATTAAAAATGTTTCCTCCTAGTCAAAGATGAGACAATATGAGCACAAAAAGAAAAATAGATAGGGTTCTGCTTCTAGCCAAGAAACAGACTTAACTTACCCACACATCTGAAATAAGAACAAAAACTGAACATAATATATGATACACTTTTCAAGACTTTGGATTAAATGTAAATGGCTTAAATGCTCCAATTAAAAGACATAGGGTAGCTGAATGGATGAGAAAACAAGACCCATATATATGCTGTTTATAAGAGACCCATCTCAGAAGGAAAGATACACAGAGACTAAAAGGGCTGGAAAAAGATATTTCATGAAAATTAAAATGGAAAAAAAAGCTGGGGTAGCAATACTTATATTTGACAAAATAGACTTTAAAGCAAAGGCTATATTAAGAGAAAAAGGACAATATATAATGATAAAGGGAGCAATCCAAAAAGAGGATATAAACCTTGTAAACATGTATGTACCCAGAATAAGAGCACTTAAATATATAAAGCAAATCTTGATGGACAAAAAGGGAGAAATTGACAGTAATGCAGTAACACTAGGGTATTTTAACACCCCACTGACATCAATGGATGGATCTTCCAGACAGCAAATCAACAAGGAAACAGTGGCTTTACAAGACACATCAGTTCAGATGGATTTAATGTTATATTCAGAGCACTTTGCCCCAAAGCAGCAGAAAATACATTGTTTCAAGTGTATATGGAATGTTTTCTAGGATAGACCACATGTTAGAGCACAAGTCTCAACAAATTGAATAAGAATAAAATCATATCAAGCATCTTCTCTTATCATAATGGTATGAAACTAGAAACAATCACAAGAAAAAAACTGAAAAACACACAAAGACATGGATTCTAAATAACATGCTACTAAACAATGAAATCAAGGAAGAAATAAAAGGATACCTTAAAATAAATGAAAATGAGAACACAACCTAAAATCTATACAACACAGCAAAAGCAGTCCTAAGAGGTAAATTCATAGCACTATAGGCCTATCTTGAAAAATAAGAAAAATCTCAAATTAACAATCTAACTTTACATTTAAAAGAACTTGAAAAAGAACAACTAACAAAGCCCAATTAGAAGAAAGGAAAAAATAAAGATGAGAGCAGAAATAAATAAAATAGAGTCTAAAAACCAATACAAAAGATCAATGAAACCAAGAGCTGGTTCTTTGAAAATATAAACAAATTTAACAAATCTTTAACCAGACTCATAGGAAAAAAAAGAGAACCCAAATAAATAAAATCTGAAATGAAATAAGAGAAGTAACAATCAGCCAGGGCAGAATGAAGCATTTCTCATACCTTTCCTGTACAAACTGTATTTCAAAGTATCCAAATAGCCCTGGCCAGTTTGACTCAGTGAATAGAATGTCGGCCCCTGGACTGAAGGGTCCCAGGTTTGATTTCATTGAAGGCTCGATCCCCAGTCCTCGTGGGGATGCTTGCAGGGAGGTAACCAATTTATGTTTCCCTCCGTCTCTCCCCCTCCCTTCCACTCTCTCTAAAAATCAATGGAAAAATATCTTCGGGTGAGGATTAACAACAACAAAAAAAAGGTTATGACAAAAAAATAATAATAATTTACTTACTTGGTGACTTGCCTATGTTGTAGCTATTGAAAAAACAAGGTTTTTGTGCATTTACACCTTGCTTGTCTACTTGATGGGACTGAGTAGCTTCCTTCAGTTGAGACAGAATTTGTCTACCACTGCGCTGAGATGAGGCATTCACTTCAAATATCTAAAGGAAGAATACATGAAAAAAGGCAAAATGGTTTATGTTTTCTTTTAATTCATTAACATTGTTCTACTGTAGCTATGACTGACCTTAAACCCAAGCTCCTGAGCACAAGCATATACTGCAGCAGTTTTCCCCACTCCTGTTGGCCCTGTTATGAGAACAGTATTGCAAAGACGATTCTCTTCTTCATCTGAACTGCCTTTAAAGTCAATGCTATCCGACAGATCTGAAAAATGATTCAAATGCATATAAAATGATAATTGCTTAGGCGGCAATTATACCTCACCAAACCCAATGATCAAATCCCACAAACTTAAAAAAAAAAAAAAAAAATTAAAAAAATTTTTTAAAAAATCCCACGAACTTCCTGCCAGTAAATGCTGGAAATTTAATGTGTAAAAACTAGAACACCAAATATAGAATATGAGTAAGAAATTTTATAAAATTTTTTAGATAATCTAATACTAAAAATTTTCAGTGAAATGGGGAAAATGACTCAAAATACCTTCTTGTTTCTCATCTCTTTTTCCCTTCAAATTCTGTCTTTCTTCTAATTCAGCTCTTCTTTTCCAATCTTTCAACCAACTGCCATAATAAAATGTATGTTAATAAAAATAATTCACAGAATATAGGTAGACTATATATGAAAGGACATTCATTGCAACATTGTTTATATTAGCTTCTAAAAGGAAAAACCTGAAAGTATATCAGTAGGGGAAAAGATATACTTTTGCACCCATACAAGAAACAATACACAGCAACTAAATAGAATTTAGGTAGATTGTGTGATAACAAGAAAGATGTCTAATATATAATGCTAAGTATAAAGATTAAGTTTTAGTCTAGAGCAGCGGTTCTCAACCTGTGGGTCGCGACCCCTTTGTGGGTCGAACGACCCTTTCACGGGGGTCGCCTAAGACCATCGGAAAACACATATATAATTACATATTATTTTGTGATTAATCACTATGCTTTAATTATGTTCAATTTGTAACAATGAAATTGGGGGTCACCACAACATGAGGAACTGTATTAAAGGGTCGAGGCATTAGGAAGGTTGAGAACCACTGGTCTAGAGCTAGACTACCTGAGCTTAAATTCTAGCTCTATCACTTTCTAACTGTGTGAACTTAGATAAATACTCAACCTCTCTAGGCCTCATTCCTCATCTATGACATAAGGACAACTATAATTTATATCCTCAGACTATTTTTCTAAGGATTAAATGAGCTAAGAACAATGCAAGTACTTAGAACACCGCCAAGTTCAAGATGTTCACCCTTATTATGGGCTACAATTCCTTATATGAAATCCTTTGGGCCGAGTGGGTTTTAGAATTCAGAGTTTTTCAGATATTAGAAAGGCAATGCGGTATATACCACACCTATATATAAAACACTAATATGCAAATAGACCAAATGGGGGAACAACCGAACAATCAGGAGGCGCGCGCAGAACATGGCAGGCGTCGGCAGCAGGCGGCAGACCATGGAACATGGTGGGTGTCGGCCACGGCGGGATGGTGGAGCATGTGAGTGGGGGCTCCAGACCAAGATGGAGTGCCGCTCACTGTCATTGGGGCGAGCCTCTGGTGATTACTGAAAATTCTTTGCTCCCCAGTGCCGCGGTTCTGCCCAGTGTTCACACCTGCTGCTGGTGCCCGCCCCACTTGTACCCGCTGCTGGCGCTTGGCGCCGGCCCTGATCACTCGGCACCATCAGCGAGTGCAAGCGGTGGCTGCTGGCCCTGATCATCCCTCAGGGCTTCTCCACCTCCCCCTGCTCCTGAGGGGCGGGCGATAGGGGCTGGCAGCTGCCTCTCGCACCTGCTGCTGGCGCTGGCCCCAATCGCTCTGTGCCATCAGTGGGTGCGAGTGGGGCCGGCACCATCAGCATGCGGAAGCAGCAGGAGCAGGGCTGCCGGCAGAGGGGGGACTGGGGGCCATGGCGGGAGGACCCGGCGGGGGCCCAGAGGATGGGCCGAGACCCACCCCTGGGCCCACCACAGCCTCACAGCCCACAGTTCCTTTCAAGGTGCACAAATTCGTGCACTGGGCCCCTTTTATTACATAATACCTCTGAAGAGGTATGTGACAGTACACCCATAATCACTTAATATTTTCATTTTTAAAAATGTATAAACTCCTACAAGTGAGATCAATAAAGACTACAATAAACTTTATATAATAGAGTTAATATACTTTCAGTCTTCAGAACATTTTGAATGTTAGAATTGTAGACAAAAGATAATGGGCATGAATTAATAGTAATATGAAAGAAGGAACTAATATATGCATAAAATTTTTTCTGGAAGGTTTTACAAGAAACCTTTAATAGTAATTTACCACTAGGGACAATAGAGGGATATTTACTTAATATTCTTTTGTTTGTTCATTCTTTATAATTATAATAATTTACAATTATAGATTTTAGAATAAATAAAAATTTTAAAACTATATTCATTAACTATATCTCAATTTTACCAACCTATGTAACTTTTTTATAGCAAGTTCATTGCCTATGAGTTCACTGGAGTTCTGAGGTTGATACTTTTCTGTCCAAAGCATGTCTTCAGTTCCAGAATCTAAAGCAAAAAATATACATTAAAGTATTGTTCCTTGACATAAACATATATTCTTAGACATTTATATTAGTTTATGTAACAATAACTACTATTTGTATAAATATTTATATTTACAAAATGCCAACAAGGCAATTTCAAAACTTAATATTACATTTAAAATTCTTCACATCAAATTCCCCTTTAAAACCACCATAAAGTCTCATGACAGTAAAGTTTAAAAGTATACATTTAAATTTTTAATAATCCTAGAAACATAAAAAATAATTTTTACCATAAAAAATATCTAAAGAACAAAGACAGCATAATTTTAGTGGAGCCTTTTTTGACCACTGAAAAGAAACATTAAAATGCCCAACTAAATCATCCAGTTTAAATGGAAAGATATGTTACACTTGCTGTTGAGAAAAACTGAATGTTGTAAAGATGTCAATTTACTCCAAACTAATCTATAAACTAATGCAAAATCAAACCTCAATGGGATTTATGAGAGTAAGGGAAACTATAGTTCATAGTAGAGATGTATGAAAATTGCTTTTAAAAATGATAGACAGTCGAAACCGGTTTGGCTCAGTGGATAAAGCGTCGGCCTGCGGACTGAAGGGTCCCGGGTTTGATTCCGGTCAAGGGCATGTACCTGGGTTGCGGGCACATCCCCAGTGGGGGATGTGCAGGAGGCAGCTGATCGATGTTTCTCTCTCATCGATGTTTCTGACTCTCTATCTCTCTCCCTTCCTCTCTGTAAAAAATCAATAAAATATATTTTTTAAAAAAAATGATAGACTTGCTATACAAATATCAAAACATACTCTAAAGCAGGGATGAGGAACCTTTTTTCTGCCAAGGGCCATTTGGATATTTATAATATCATTTGCGGGCCATACAAAATTATCAATTTAAAAATTAGCCTGCTCTATTTGGTCAAACATTTCATTAACTCACCCCTAACGCCTTGGCACGGCCAGACCAAATGATCTCATGGGCTTTATACAGCCCACGGGCTGGACATTCCCCACCCCTGCTCTAAAGCAACATAAATAGATGAATTAATTTAATAAGGTACTTAGGAAAAGTTAGATACCCTGAATGGGAACATGTAAGAAATATGAGAAATACATGTAAAATAATATGTATAACATGATCCCTATTTTTTAAAATATATTTTTACTGATTTTAGAGAGAAAGGGAGAGGGAAAGATAGAAACATCAATGATGAGAGAGAATCATTGATCAGCTGCCTCCTGCATGCCCCCACTGGGGATCGAGCCCACAACCCAGACATGTGCCCCTGACAGGGAATTGAAACTGGGGACCCTTCAGTCTGCAGGCTTATGCTCTATCCACTGAGCCAAACCGGCTAGGGCTGATCCCTATTTTTTATAAAAGCATATATATTTACAGAAGCGAAAAACAATCAAAGATCAAAAAGCAATGTTAATAAGATTATCTATAAGACTCTCATCAGTGAGGCTTCCACTTCTTATTTATACATATATATTGTTTGAATTTGCAATGAGCACATATTGAGAGAGGGGAAGTGACAGGTTTAAAAAAAAGATAAGAACTAATTTACCAGGAACAGAAGATATTTCTGATGTAGATGCTTTGTCATCATCTATTATCAGAACATCAGAATCTTCTACTGCTTCACTTTCCACTTCACATGTACTCACAGCAGTTTGTGTCTTCCTGCGTGTTTTAGAATACAGACTTTTGGAAGAATCTAGCTTTATCCCAGTGTAGTTGTGTGTTTTTTCCAGTTCTTTTGGTTTTCCATTTATATTTTCTGGATTTTCTGAATACTCATTTGGTTTCCTTCTTTTTGATTTATGATTTTTGGTTTCCACTCGTTTCCTTTTGGTTTCCTTTAGATTGACATCAGGCTCTAGTTGTGGATTTTCTATTTGGGGAATAATAGAAATGCATATGCTTACTAATCAAAAAAATTTTAATACCCAATAATCTTAGTATTACTTCAAAATATCCAATTGTCTTACTATAAAACGAAAGGTAAGAATCAAATATGGCATGCTGAAAGCAAGCTGAATATCTTATTTAGACTGCCTTTATACAAGCAAATAAGTTCAAATTATCTCATTTAAGGCTTTCCTTAAGTGAATTATTAATAGCTATCTTGGGCTGGCATCTCTGGAAGCTAGCAGGGGCTAACACTCCATTGCACAAGATGCTTTACTTCAGTTGAATAAATTCTCCCTGCCAACCATAAGCAATGTTCTCTTCATGATGACCACTTCCAAGGGTCAATGGCTAACTCTTAGTGCTTTTTTTCTTTTTCTTAAAAAATGTTTTCATTGATTCTAGAGAGAGAGGGAGAGACAGAAACATCGATGATGAGAGAGGAACATCTATTTAGCTATCTCCTGCATGCCCCTCACTGGGATCTAACCTGCTACATGGGCATGTGCCCCTGACCGGGAATTGAACCTATGACCTCTAGGTGCATGGGACAATGCTCAACCAACTGAGCCACACCAGCCATATCTCTTAGTGCTTTCAAAAGTGAAATATTAACATAAATGGTAATAATTATCACTAACCTTGTTTACAATGACATTCAGAGAGTACTTGGTGCTCAGCTTTTTTTTTTAGAAGCAATGGAAAATATTTCCTCAAAGAAAACTCAGGATTTAACCATGTAATTTCCTCCAGCAAAAGATTTCTTACTTCTTCAGTAAAATCTTTTCTTCTCCCCATAAACTGAAATAAAGAATAAAATACTCAATAACTGACCCATATTGTCTATTAACATTAAGCACAACACTACCAATTACTTTGTCAATAATCTTATCTAATAATAGACAAACATGGCAATTGACCATACCTTCGCTACACTTCCCATTGGCTAATCAGCATGATATGGAAATTAATGGCCAACAAAGATGGCGGCTAATTTGCATACTGCAGGCAGATCCCACTGCGCCGCCCCACCTGGGGCTGGCAGCAGCGCAATCCCCAGATGCTGGCCACCCCAGGCGGGCAGCAGCATGATCCTGAGCCGCCACCCGCCCCACGACAGGGAGAGGCTGGCAGCACACCCCCCATGGGGGTAGGGGCGCAGGCAGCTCCTCAGAACGGACACTGGAGCTGCGAGCCCCAGGTGCACAGCCAGGAGACCCGAACCTGCCTACTCAAGCATCAGGCTTATGCTTATTGGAACTAGGCACCAATACATTAGAGAAGTTATTTTAAAACAAACAACAAAGAAGAAAATAGGTGTTGACCCCAGAACTATGTCCCCACAGGGAGTGGGTGACAGTAAAGAGGAGCGCAGGCTGACATGCTGTGGGCGGCGAGGACAAACATGGAGCTGAGGGAAGCAGCCGGAGCAAAGGCCCCGGCTGTCTGACTCCATTTACCTGAAATGCCGGGAGCAGGAAGCGCACGGGCACAGGAAGTGACCAGTGCTTTCCAGGGGGGTTTGAGGGACTGGGGCCTAAGGGAGAAATGATTTTAGAGGAAGTGCAGCAGCTTGCGGGTGCAGGAGGCCTGGCTCCCAGGTCCAAAATCAGAAAAACAGCTCAGAAGGGAAACCTGAAGAAAGCCCTGGAAGTACCCAAAGGAAAAAAGGCCTGGGCATCTCCACGGAAGAGCGAAAGGGCATGGGACACAGTAAGACGGGAGGCTCTGGAAGAGAAAAGGGGCATCAGGAAAGCGGTGAGCACAGGGGAGGGCGGGAGACTCTGCTGTAAGGCGGGCCCGGCGCGGGGGTTGGGGGTGGGTCTGAGGAAGTGGAGGCCCAGGGCCAGGACCAGGACGGCCCTCAGGAAGAAACACGCCCCCCCCACCCCTCCCAACATCGGACAGAGACCAGGAGTGACCGGCAAGTTCGGGACGAAAAGTGAAGGAGGACAGCAGGGCATCTGGCAGCAGCTGTGCATGCGGTTTCGGGAAGGAAACAGAGCCACGCCGGGGTCCCGTTTCCCGAGGGCGCTTAGACTCAGACAACACAAGCAAGCACCCCAGGCTTTAAGGCCTCACTGGGTTCTTGAGCTATTCTTTAAAAAAAATATTTTAACACATTTCAATTTCAAGAAGTAAAAACAAAACCAAGAAAGAAAAACTGCGCTTTTGGAGCCTGAACATCCACAGGGACCTCAGCGCGATCCCGAGCTGCCGCCCGCCCCAGCGAGGGATCCAGGCCTGCCATGTGCTGGGAGGGCAGCAGCACGATCTGAGCAGCAGCCCGACCCAGCGCGGGATCCGGGCCTGCCATCTGCGACCGGGGAAGACGGGGCAGACACCGCGGGATTGGGCGTGCCATCTGCCACCAGGGAAGCGGGCCTAAGCCAGCAGGTGGTTATCTCCCAAGGGGTCCCAGACTGTGAGAGGGCACAGGTTGGGCTGAGGGACCCCCTCCCCCCGCCAGTGCACAAATTTTTGTGCACGGGGCTTCTAGTCCTATATAATAAAAGGCTAATAGGCAAATCGATGAAACGGTGGAACTACCAGTCACTATGATGTGCACTGACCACCAGGGGGCATACGCTTAACGCAGGAGTTGCCCCCTGGTGGTCAGTGTGCTCCCCCAGCCAGAAGCCAGGCTTATGGCTGGCAAGTGCAGTGACAGCAGCACTAAGCCGTCATTCAGACAGCCGCCCGAGGGCTCCCAGACTGGGAGAGGGTGCAGGCCAGGCTGAGGAACCCCTCCCCACCCACCCCAGGCATGAATTTCATGCACTGGACTTCTAGTAAGTCAATATTAGCTTTCATCACTAAATGTAATCTTGATGGAAATGTTATTAAAAACAATCTTGATGGCAAAAAGCTGCATTTGCTTAGTTTTTTAAGGACTTAAAACAATTGTTCTGTTTCAACTAGTAATTGTACTTCACATATTTACTAGATTAAAATGCTGACTTATAAAGTATCTAAATGTACTATATAATGTAACCTTTTGAAATTGGCTAGCATTAATTCTTAAAATGTTTTTATAGCTCTAGTATTTAAAAGAGATATTACTTTAGCTGAGATTTATTTTTTAGGCTACAATAGTAGATATCCAAATTTTTTTTTCTCTAAAAGATGTGAAGGAAACACTCTATAATGAATGAGCTTTCTAATACTTACCACAACAGTAGAATTATTACTTTTCAAATTTGAATTCAATGTTGAAAATTCACCAAGAGCAATAACACATTTAGAAAGATTTACTTTAGTATTCCATTGTTTAAGTTTAATTAAGCGAGAACAAGTGGGTGGTTTCAAATGCCACAAAGAGCACCCTAAAGAAAAACAGAAAAATTGTTTTAATTACCTTCATTCACATATTATCCATTTATCAAATGCCAAGTATATAAACATAAAAAGACTTAACTACATAGTTAACACAAAAGTATCAAAACTAAGATGAGTACAAAAGGGAACAAAATCTTCACCTCCAACAAATACAATTAATAAAAATTACCTAGTCTTCCCTTCCAATTGTTAAAAATAAGCAAATATCTACAAATTTTCTTCTATTTTTAAATCAACCTTGCTACTCACAATAAAAATGTCAGTGTCAGTTAACATTCTGGTTTAAAGTTTAAACTCTAAAGTCAGACCTAGATTCAAACCCAGACTCTGCCTCTTACTAGCTAGGTGACTGTCGGCAAGATCCTAAACCTTAGTTTCTTCATGTGTAAAGTGGGGGCAACAATTATAATACTTAACTTTCTAAAGTTGTTATAGGAATTAAACTAGATATTCATATGAAGTGTTTGGCAAATGCCAAGCAACAGTTAAGTGTTCGCTAACTCTTATGGTTCTAGGGAGAGAAGTGCTCTCTGTGTTTGCCTTATCTGCTCATCTCCAATGTTTTATAGTAGCATGCTTCTAGGAGAATGGGTTTGTCAAAATCGGGGGGGGGGGGGGGGGGGAGCATAACTAATTTCTATATTGAATATACTTTCAGAAAATACTATGTAAACCCTGGCCAGGTAGTTCAGTAGGTTAGAGCGTCATCCTAATATGCCAAGATTGCAGGTTAAATCCCTGGTCAGGGCACATACAAGAATTAACTAAGGAATACATAAATAAGTGGAACAACAAATCGATATTTCTCCCTTCCTCTCCTCTCTCTAAAAATCAATCAATAAAAATTTAAATTAAAAAAATACTATATAAAATTGAACTAGTAAAAAATAACAGAAAAGGCTTCATCAACTGAATGACCAGTGGCAGTTGGAAAAAAGGAAAAGTAGAATATTATTACAAAGACAGGCTGGGAAGTTCTCCATACAAATGAGAAGCCGAATGAAACTCAAAAAGTATCTAGGTCAGGCCCTGACTGGTGTTGCCCAGTGATTAGAGCATTGGCCCTCAGGCCAAAGGGTCACAGGTTCGATTCCAGTCAAGGGCACATATGGGGGTTCATTCACCAGCCCTGGTCAGCTAATTGATGTATCACTCTCATCGATGTTTCCTCTATCTCTCTCTCTCTCTTTTTCTCCCTCCCTCCCTCCATTCCATTTTCTCTAGAAATCAATGGAAAGAAAGTGTCCTTGGATGAGGATTAACAACAATAACAAAATACCAAGGTCAAAAGCATAAAAGGAAAAGAAAGAAAACAGAACACAGTGTACACTTCGTGATAGAAGGAGTGCACTAAACCAAACCACAGAGCCAGCTGAGGGAATATAACTGGTTTTGTGCTGACAAAAATAACTCTAGGTAGAAACAATAACAACATAAAGATATAAGGTTTTGTACATTACCAGCAATTAAAAAATATATAAGTAAAGTAAGACTGTAATTGTTACAGCATTAGAATCCAAATAGAATTAGGTTACGGTCATACTAAAACCACCTTATAAGAAAGAGGCTTGTGCAAACAGTTCATTCTTGTGCACAGTGCATGTGAGAAGAGGGTGAACTAGGGCAATGAAGCACTGCTACTTGTTACCCATTCCAGAAAATATTCCCCAAAATAGGTAGGTACTAAACAGCAGAAGCTGTTCTGGAAAGGAGGCAAACAAATTTCCCTGAACATTAGCTTGAACTCCTGTGAGAAATTCTTAAAGATGACCTGTTCACACACAGGCTATAATTTCAGAAGGGAATGGCCTTCCTTTTAGAACACAGTGCCTCTCTGGAGAACAATATGCACTTAAAGTCCCACACACATTGCCTGCTGTCCCCCAGCATAAGGGGTAAAGGCTGAGGATGACTTTGGCTTTCTTGCCCCTGGTCATCCTTGGTAAAGTGAGTCTAAGGCTCAGGAAGAGATTTTAAATTTCCACTAAAATCATTCTAAGAATTACACTTAAACCTTTGCCTCATCTTAAACCACCTTACATAGTTTCATAATACTTCTAACAGTTTCAAAGTAAATATCCCATAATAATAAACAAGCTCACCATCATCTTTTTGTTGTACATGAACTACTCTCTGGAAACTGGTACTCACTGCATTGTACACATCTAATGCAGCAGATTTCTTTGCAATTTGTCGTTTCAACAAATCTGGCAGACCACTCATTAAAAAGTCACGCTTTGCTTTAAGTCGCACATCACAATCCTGAGATCTTTCGGAGGTATCTTGACTTTTAAGAAAATGATATGAAAAGGAAAGCTAAGGTTATAAAAACTTTAAACATATAAACTGTCCTATATAATAAAGAGCTAATATGCTAATTAGACTAGACGGCAGGACGACCTTCTGGAGCAACCTTCCAGAATGACCAGTGGGCAGGGGGCGGGGCTGCGAGGGCCGAGGCAGCCAGGGCTGCGAAGGCCTACTCTTGCACAAATTTTGTGCATCGGGCCTCTAGTCTTTAAAATAAATACCTTTAATTTAATTTGAATAGATTTAGTCAGCTAAGATGTTAGCTGGTCAAATTCTTTTTTGCTTATCATAAAAACAAAAGTCTATCAGTGTTAAGTTAAATAAATAAA